ATATACATATATACATACATACATACATACATACATACATATATACATATATACATACATACATACATACATACATACATATATATATATATATATATATATATATATATATATATATATATATATATATATATACATATATATATATATAGTGGTTTGTTGATTAAATGAAAAACGAGCTGAAAACGGAGCAGCGGAAGTCTGCCGCCGTTTTCATATCAAATTTAAAGGGGACTCAAGCCACCATATAGTAGTGTACAGTTCATGAGCTAAATCGCAAAACTTTAAAAATGTAAAAATTTTAAGGGGGCTGAACAGAAATATAGAAGGGCTAAAGCGTCGCCCATGCTGTTTCATAAATTCCCCTAAACGTTTCAGCGAGACATCATTCAGTTGACTTGTCGGGGTCTTCGAAAAACTCACCAAATTTTCTTACAGTTGCTGCGGTCGTCAGGGTGCAATTTAAACAAAAATGCACCAATTGCAACAAATTAAGATGCGAGTAAAAAAGCATTTGGTAGACAGCCTAAAGGGACGTGAATACACATGAATTAGGGAAGTTTTATTAGAAAAACAAGCGAGTACACCGAGGGTAAACACAATTATTGATCCTCAGAAGTGGTAGCTCAGCTCATGGAAAAAAGTAAGCATACTGAGTATGGGCTCTATTTTGACGGTCCATGCGCAAAACGCAAGGCGCAGGGCAAACACTTTCAGGGCGTGTCAGGACACGTTTTTGCGTTTTTGAGTCACGGGAAATCTGCCTTGCGCAGTGGCGCATGGTCTAAAAGGGTTGAGTTTATTTTCTTAATGAGTTATAGGTGTGTTTTGAGAATAAACCAATCAACTGAACCAAAAAGTCTCATCTCCCATTACCTTTAAGAGCCAGCTGCATCGCGCCAAGAGCGCATTCGCTATTTACAAGACGCAAAGTAAGTCTAAGTGGAAAAAATGAGCATTTCACTAGCAAACAGTTGACAGTTGACAGTTACTGTGTGAGAATGAGAGATAATGAATCACTTTCGCTCTTGGATAGAGAAACCTTTACGCACAGACATCAATTAGTCTATAAATAATTAATTTTGTTTGTTAAGCGCAAATATACGTTTCAAAACTATTTCTAAATTCAGTTCTAATTTCCAGCAAACGAATAAATGAACAATAATAACAAAATGTGCTCAAAAACCTGAGTTATATCCTAAAACACATGCTGTGCCCCATATGGTCTAAAACCTGACAGGTGGACAAATCTAAGCTTGTTTTTAATAAAACAAATATAAATATGGATATAATAAATAATACTGCTAATAATAATAACATTATACAAAAGCAAATTGTTATGAATGAACTGAAAAAGCCTCCCGAGATGAAGAAGACATAATAGCAGTGGTTTTTTATATTTATGTAGGCTAGAAAATAAAATGTTTTGTAATATTTTAATCCTTTATATTTATATTCTATGTCTATTCTTATTATATCCTATATATATCCTTAATATTTAAAATTTTTCATATGTAAAGATATTTGCCTAATGCTCTCTTGTGCGAGCAGTGCGTAAGCGAGGCACAAGTCTGCGCTGGAGTTTTGACCGGGTTAGTTTTGGTCTAATGAAAAATCTATTATAGTTTCTCAAAATAGCAATGCGCCAGCGGTCCGCCTCAGAACGCCTTCCTTTTTAGACCAGAACGCCTATGAGCGCACATATGAGCGCTAATGCATTTGCTATTTAAACAGCGTAGCGCAACGCCTCAAAACCACTCTTGGGCGTCAGTCTGGGTGGTACGCTTCTTTAGGGCTTCTCCACACCATAACTCTCCTGGATGTGGGAAAGTCAGTGAAGGTGGACTCATCAGAGAACAATACGTGTTTTGCATTGCCCACAGCCCAAGGTTTTCACTGCTGGAACCATTGAAGCCGATGTTTGGCATTGGCACAAGTGGCCAAAGGTTTGGCTATAGCAGCCCGGCCATGTATATTGAGCTCCTGATGAACAGTGTTGGTGGAAACAGGAGAGCTGAGCTGCACATTTGATTCTACAGTGAGTCAGGCAGCTGTGGTTTCATGTTTTTGAATACAATCGTGGTTAGCACTCGGACATCCCTTTCAGACTGTGTCCACAGTTCCTCTTGTTGGATGTGGTTCTTCTTCTTGGTGGTTTGCTGACATTAACCTAGATACCAAGGCTCTTGATCATCACGAAGACCTGGGGCCTCATGTATCAACGCTGCGTACGCACAAAAACTTTTGGATTTACTAACGATGAACTGAACGTGGGAATGTGCGCAGGTTCACGGCAGCTTTCTGGCTGGCGTGCGCACATTTTTTGTGCGTGTCTGTTTTATTTCCATTGGCGACTCCTAGAGGCAGTTGTGTTAAATTCTTCTCTACAAAGTGTTTGAGCCTTGCAATGGCAGCTGTATGAGACGGGTTCATCTAGCAGGTATTTAAGGTTTCCATACCATACAGTTGACCTGCTAAACATTAAAGCACAATTTGCAGCGGTCGCCTGTTTTCCCAATGTAATCTGAGCGATCTACCGCACGCACATTGCTATAAAGACACTATCTGAAGATGAATTTGCATGCGTGAAACATTTCCATTCAATAAATGTGCAAATAAAATATGATGCACAGACTTATTGATGATTCCTACTTGTCTTTCTCGTGATAAATAGTTGGCAAAATCTGATATGTAGCGGGGGAAAAAAGACAAAAGAGTTCATCAGACGCTGGATTCGAGCCGAGTTTAAACTCGAACGTGTCAATACATGATGACATGCGTCTTACGAGCTGCGCCACTGAGACTGCTAAGGGTACTGCAACATTTTACACATATAAATCACACTATTTCTTTTTTTTAATGCACTCAGTGCGATGTTCAGACCCAACTGTGTTAACCGCATCAGCTAAACTCTCCCACTCTATTTTTTTTCTTTTGTTGTTAATTCCGGAGAACAAACTTGCAAATAACACTGCTTTTCTCCGGTCTACCTCCGAAAGGAGCACCTCCAATTCACATTCTGTTCAAAGTTTCTCTTCTTGCTTGATTTTGCCTTTGCTTTTTCGTTGAGTTTTTCCATTAGCATAGTCATTAGCATATTCATACGTGGGAGGAGGCAGGGAGGGGTTTTGTGCTCGTGCATGTTGCGCTCAGTTTCACGTTCATTCGGATGTACAAAAGAATATGCGTGAGACTCGGCGTACGCAGTGTTTCATACATCTGAATTTTTTTCTGCGTACGCACATTTACAGCTTTGTGCGTACGCAATGTTTTAGTAAGATTTCCACGCAAGTCTTCGTACATGAGGCCCCTGCTGTTTTGATCACAGATGCACCAGCAAGACGTGCACCAACGTCTCTCTGATATGTCACCCATATTGGTGTGTGCATTGCAATACTTTAAGCAAAACCGTGCGATTACTCTGCTAATCAAACCTTCACACTCGGCTCTTACTAGTGGAATGTGCAATCAATGAAGACTGGCCACCAGGCTGCTCAAACATAGCCATCAAACCTCCAACACTAAATCGGCCAGTGTTTCAGTGTCATTGTGTAGCGTCCTATATAAAAGATGACTAAGCCTTCCACTGATGTTCACGATTCATTTATTGGTCACACTTCTAAGAATTTGTTCACATTATTTCATCATGAATCACCGTAAGAACTAGAGAGAAAATAAACAAACAACAAACACAAATAAATCCCGAAAATTAACACTAAGCCAACATCAACAATTAAACATTAATCTTAAACAAATAAACCAAATTACCTTATTTTTCCCTCAAACCAGAAGCTATAACTCATGGAGGAGGAATCCGTGAAGCAACCGTATACCTGTGCCCCTTTTACCGTGTTTCATCTAGCGTTCCATACTTTGTTTTCATTCATTACTACACGCAATTTATACATCCGGTAAGCTCCGCAATTTTGACGTCATAATTCAAATCTCCAAACAATTTAATTCATTCAACAAATCAACCCGTATACAAAATACAACACAACATAAAAAAATAAATAAATTCAAAATCATAAACAAAGTAACACATTATTTCAAGTTTCTTTACACACTGTATGTACTGTGTGTGTATGTAAACACATCTGCACCAATTAATTAGGTTCAATGACCTAAACAGCATTTGATAATTACAGGCAGGTGTGTTTGATACGGGTTGCAACTGAAATCTGCAGGAAGGTAGATCTCCAGGAACAGGGTTGGTCACCCCTGGTTTAGGGGTAGAGTTGTGGGAAGAAGACGCAGTATACAGTCTGTACTGTGTAAACCTCATTTTGTCTATAGAAAGTCCCACAAAGATAGTGTGTGTGTGTGTGTGTGTGTGTGTGTGTGTGTGTGTGTGTGTGTGTGTGTGTGTTTTCTCTACCTGTCTGTGGCGGCTCTGAGCGGTTGAACAGGTCTCTCCAGGCTCCGTCCAGAAAGGCTGCGCTGTATCGGTTGTCAAGGGCACCCAGGTGCTTAGCAACTGGATGAGAACCTGAACGAGTTTAAAAATAAAAACATAGACAAACAGAAACAGACAGCTTTCAACACAATGAAGAGACATGACATATTCATTCATTCATCTATCAGTCTATCTATTTATCCACTGATCAACTGTCCATCCATCTAACAGTCATCCATTCATCCATTCGACCATCAGTCATCCATCTATCAGTCATCTATTCATCCATTCATATATCTGTCAATCAACCATCCATCCATCTATTAGTAATCCATCCTTCCATCTATCTAACAGTCATCCATCAGTCATCCATCCATCTATCAGTCTTTCATTCATCCATCCTTCTATCAGTGATCCAGTCATCCATCCATCTATCAGTCATCCATTCATCCATCCATCAGTCATCCATCTATCAGTCATTTATTCATACATCCATCTAACAGTCATCCAGCCATCCATCTATCAGTCAGTCATATGTTCATCCATCCATCTATCATTCATTCATTCATTCATTCATTCATTCATTCATTCATCTATCCGTCATTGATTCATTCATCCATCCATCTATTAGTCATTCATCCATCCATCCATCCATATATACATCCATCATTCATCCATCTACCCACATATCAGTCATTCATTCATCCACCCATCTATCAGTCATCCATGTATTAGTCATTCATTCATCCATCCATCCATCCATCCATCCATCAATCCATCCATCTATTAGTCATCCATGTATTAGTCATTCATTCATCCATCCATCCATCCATCCATCCATCCATCTATCAGTCATCCATGTATTAGTCATTCATTCATCCATCCATCCATCTATCAGTCATCCATCCATCTATCAGTCATTCATTCAACCATCCATCCATTTATCAGTCATCCATTCATCCATCCATCAGTCATCCATCTATCAGCTATTCATTCATCCATCCCTCTAACAGTCATCCATCCATCCATCCATTTATCAGTCATACATCCATCTATCAGTCTTTCATTTATCCATCCTTCTATCAGTGATCCATTCATCCATCCATCTATCAGTCATTTATTCATCGATCCATCTATCTGTCATCCATCCATCAGTCATTTATTTATCCATCCAAGTCATCCATCCATCCATCCATCTATCAGTGATTCATTCATCCATCCATCTATTAGTCATTCATTCATCCATCCATCCATATATCCATCTATCAGTCATCCATCTACCCATGTATCAGTCATTCATTCATCCACCCACCCATCTATCAGTCATCCATGTATTAATCATTCATTCATACATCCATCAGTCATCCATCTATCCATCTATCAGTCATTCATTCAACCATCCATCCATTTTTCAGTCATCCATTTTTCAGTCATCCATCCATCAGTCATCCATCTATCAGCGATTCATTCATCTATCCCTCTAACAGTCATCCATCAATCCATCAATCATCCATTTATCCATCCATCTATCAGTCATTTATTCAGTCATTCATCAGTCATTTATTCATCGATCTAACAGTCACCTATTCATCCCTTAGTCATCCTTTCATCTATCAGTCATTCATTCATCCACCTTTCTATCCTCCATACAATTGGTCATCCATTCATTAATCCATCCATACATCCATCAGTCATCCATTAATCCATCTATCCAACAGTCATCCACCCATTCATCTATCTATAAGTCATCCATTCATCCATCCATCGGTCATCTATCCATCCATCAGTAATCCATCTATAAGTCATTTATTCATCCACCCATCCATCCATCCAATTAGTCATCCATTCATAAATTCATTCATCCATCCAGTCATCCATCCATCCCACCTTCCATCCAATTAGTCATCCATCTATAAGGGATCCAATCATTCATCCATCCATCCATTCAGTCATCCATCCATCCATCCATCCATCCATGCATCCATCCATCCATCCATCCATACATCCATCCATCATTCATCAGTCCATCCATTTATCCATCCATCAGTTATCCATTTCTAAGTCATCATTTCATCCATCCGTCATTTACTCATCCATTCATCCATCTACCCATGCATCCATCCATCAGTTTAATCCTCTAGTGCAGGGGTAACCAACCCTGTTCCTGGAGAGCTACCTTCCAGCAGAATTCAGTCCCAACCCTGATCAAACACACCTGAACCAATTAATAGTACCTAAAGCAGCACTTGATAATTACAAACAGGTGTGTTTGGTAGGGTTGCAACTAAAATCTGCAGGAAGGTAGATCTCCAGGAATAGGGTTGGTGACCCCTGCTCTAGTGACATCATCACTGGTTTTAATTCTCACCCAGAGGCACGACCAGGAAGCGGATGTGATTGAGCCAGTCGGAGGTTTTATTGGCGAGTTGAGTGACGAAGAACTGCAGCACTGACCCCAGATAACTCTGACCCCCGACCACTGCCACCTTCACCGGCCGCGGCATCGACGAGTTACAGTTACAGCTGCGCACACACACACACACACACACACACACACACACACACACACACACACACACACAGAGTAAATGTTTTGTTTGAATTGGGAGTCTTTTTAACTAGTGAGCAGTAGTAAAAACAACCCAGGCTCATTCTGAAAACGTAGTCCCGTGGACGTTTCTGGAGACCGCCAAATACGTGCTAGGGGGGGGAAGTATGGCTGTATTTTATTTTTATTAAGCGAACGCTATTTTTGCATTGCAAAACTTTCGGGAGTTCATTGGCATTTTCCCGCACGTGAATTCTGACCAATCGATAAGCAGTTTAGGAAATACGTTCAACAACATCTGGCCAATGAGAGATGTGGATTTCGTCAGATGACTGCATTTTGGTTCTTTTCAACTGGTTCTGACCAATGACTGTAAAAAATATGGACGATGCGACAGCCCCTTTTCCCATTGAACGCCTTGAGGGCAAAACGCCTGCTTGACGGGCACAAACTGTCGCAAAAGACTGCTGAAATTGGAGCCTTGACATGCGCAGAAGGACTGTCTGATGGAGCCAGAGGAGGAGCCGCGAAAATGAGTCGAGCTTCCAACCAAACGCTTTATGTAAAATCAACCACGCCCCCCGAACTTCTCAGCATGCGTTTGCTGTCATATCAACACAGATGGATGAAATAACGTTAACAAATATGAGGGTTTTATATATTTAATCGCGCCAGCTCCGGACCGCAGCGCATAACCTACTCGCGGCGTCGCGGGCTGATTCCGGCTCGCATGCGGCAACGCCGCCTCGCTCGGCCGCCGCATCTGGTTCGATGGACTCGGGCTGAAATCGGGCAGTGAGTCCAGGCATCCAGAGTAGGTCCAGCAGAGGTAGTCAGTCTGAGCTCTGAGGGGTAAGTCTCCGGCAGGCGAGAATCTAGCTGGAACTGACCCGAGTGTGTTTTGCTATCTGGGTGGCTAGGCGTGTATCGGCAAACTAATAAAGCCCGAAAAAAGCCCTGACCTTAGCAAATAAACAGTGTTCCTCCAGGATCATGTATGTCAGAAACTGTAGTTTACTGCTGAACTCATTTTGTCATGGTAAAATAACACAGAAATCAAATAATAACACTTCAGTCTCCTGCCGAAGCTCAGACGCGCTGCTTTGAGAAACTGTCAATCACAGCTGTCAATCACGATGACACGCCCAGCATTAAATTACTGCTAAAAACAAACTGTTTACAAAAATGAAGATCTGCACCAATTTCAGCACAATAACCAGTGCTTTAATCGACCAGAACTATCTTTCGGGACATTTTATTGCAAGTGTAATACATTTTTTTATTTGGGCTCAAGTCTCCTTCATTAACACGGAAGAGGCGGGCTTTATGACTTGTACTGCAGCCAGCCCCCAGGGGGCGATCTAACGGCCGAGACCTTCACTCAAACACAGGCTTGCGGCACACTTGGTTCTGACCAAAGCCAGCAGTGTGGTGTGAAAACGACCCAAAGACGGCAGAAAATGCAACAATATATCATTTCTTGCACTAGGCCCGGACCAAATAAAGCGAACTACAGATGTGAAAGCACCCTAAGAACAAATCATATAATCCTAACATTGTTATATCAATAGATGTTTTCTCAAAGATTGTAAATGATACTACATTTAATTGGTCCTGCACTTTTTTTCACTGCTTAGTATATTTTGTTTGTTTATTAAATTGCTGTAGTGCAGGGGTATCCAAACTACGGCCCGCGGGCCATCTGCGGCCCGCAATCAGTTTTGTGGCGGCCCGCGAGGCTTTTTATAAATTTCAATAGAATCTGGCCCGCTATACAAAAATGAACGTAGTTCAATAAATAACCACCGGGTGTCGCTATCACATGCATTCAATTAAGCAGCAGTTCTTGTTGTGATCTATCTATCTATCTATCTATCTATCTATCTATCTATCTATCTATCTATCTATCTATCTATCTATCTATCTATCTGTCTATCTATATATATATATATATATACACACAAACACACACACATACACACACACACACACACAGTTGAAGTCATAATTATTAGCCCTTCTTTATTTCTTCTTTTTTAAATATATCCATATAATGTTTAACAGAGCAAGAAAATTTTCACAGTATGTTTGATAATATTTTTTCTTTTGGAGAAAGACTTATTTGTTTTATTTTGGTTTTATTAAAAGCAGTTTTTAAATTTTTTCATGAACCATTTTAAGGTCAAAATTATTAGCCCCTTAAGTCTTCAGAACAAACCATTGTTATAAATTAACTTGCCTAATTACCAAAATTTGACTAGTTAACCTAATTAACCTAGTTAAGCCTTTAAATGAATGTTTAGAAATGTGGAAATATCATAAATATATATATATATATATTATACGTATACGTATATATGTATATATATATATATATATATATATATATATATATATATATATATATATATATATATATATATATATATATATATATATATATATATATATATATATATATATATATATATATATATATATATATATATATATATATATATATATATATATATATATATATATATATATATATGTATGTATGTATGTATGTATGTATGTATATATGTATATATGTATGTATGTATGTATGTATGTATGTATATATGTATATATGTATATATGTATGTATGTATGTATGTATATATATCCCCAGAAGGATCTAATCCTGTTCTGCCCTAAAATGAAAATCCTAAAATCGCCCCTGTAAACAGTAGTTCACATTTGTCTTAATCGTGCCTACCACTACAGGAAATGACACTATATATAACACTAAAAACGATGAGGCAAAGACTACTCATAAATCATGTTACAATTTGTCATTTAAAAGGGTAACTACCAGTATATATAGCGACAACAGAAGTAAGTCTCCTAATAGCTTGGTTTAAAACAAGCATGTGCGAATGTGACAATCAAAAATAATGGCTGATCGATATTTAAAGGAACCTATTAAATGTAAAGTACAGTATGTAAAGCTGTCTTTTTATGTATGCACAGGCCCTATTGAGTTAACTTAAATAAAAGTTAACTAAATTGTTGTAACTATCTTGATTGACTCTTTTTTTTTTTTTCAATATTAAAATGATTTAATAAGCTACATACTGTATACATACAGCCAATCTCAGAGTCTGCTGCAGGGCACTATTAGCTGAAAATTAATCATTAAATAGGATTAGACTATTAGCATCTCCCTTCAAAATGAACAAATTTGTTTTTGTTTTTTTTTCCCTTTTAAATGGATAGTTCACCCCAAAAAAATTAAAATGGTCATCATCATCAAAATAAAAAAATAAAAAAATAAATTTTAAATAAGCAAACAAAAAAAATTATGTGTAAATATATATAT